GAAAGAAAGAGAACGGAAGAACATAATGTGGATGGAGCAAGAATGATTGAAGTAATTCTATTGAACTCTTCAAATTACACTGACAGCTACTGGTTAAAGAACCCAATTGATTAATATTGATTCCTTAAAGGATTCAGTCAGTTGAATTATAGGAGTGCCTAAAAAAGAGATTTTCTCAAGAGAGGAAACTTCACTTGATCATGAGAACAGGAAATATGTTAGTCTCAGGTTCAGATTGCATCAAATAGTTGATATTCTCATCGAAACTGACTCTGAACCAGCTAGCTTTGCTCTCTCCTGCCTCCAAGTTCTTCTTTTTCTCTGGAAGATTAGGCCCATTTGCTTTTCTGATTCTGCAGCTTTTTCTAAACCAGAGCAAGAATAATCTCAGTGCCAGATAAAGGAGATATAATTTCACTGTAATGTTGCTCCATTCTTTTTTATTTTCCAATAATTTTATGCACATTGTCAAATGTGACTGAAGTATGAGGCTTGCTTGTATTTTACTGGTGTTTTTCTAGAGATGGAAACTTGGAGGAAGAAGAGTTTGTAATCCACAGCACCCTGAGAAAACATCTCTTCTCTTGTCTATCTTCTCTCTAGCTGCACGTGCCTTTGGAGCAGGGAATTTAGTAACTCTCACTACTGTATCTTCAACACCTTTCTTATAGCCTAGAATGACAGTGAATGTCTCTGGAATAAATAAACTTTGCAGAATAGGAAGATTAGTTTAGAAAACTGGAGATGTTCTGCAAGATTAAAAAAAAAAAATACCTCCAGGGGACGTGAATGCCATCTATTAGTTTCTTAAGACTACACAATTGGAGGTGAAAAAAAGTCTTCTCAGTGTTAAGTCCAGAGTCAGAACCCACAAGTTTGTGGAAAAAACATTTCTCCTCCAAAGGTCTAGTGCTTTTAAAAATTATCTTGAAGGCTCGTGTAGTAGCTACATCTGCTAATGTGAGTGGAGTATTTTTCAGAAGATTAAAAGGAAGTTGGCATTAAATTGTGATTACTGTCATTCTTTTTCAAGTAGACAGGTTATGCTATGCATTTTATGACACTGCAGGCTCATTTGCCCTGTGAACCTCTCTCTAACCTCTTCTCCAGTTGAGAAGAACTAATTATTCTCCATTGGAAGAATACTTTGCACATCTCTTGGCATAGCACTCCCACACTGAAACATATTTTATTTGTACCAGATTGAGAGCCTTCGTGAAAAAGGAAATAAAAGAAAACTAAGGATTGAGTTACTATGTGAGACACAGTACTGGATTTTCTTTAGCATTCTGTACTCTCCTTTAATTGTTAGACTAGCTGAAGAACCTTGGTATTGCGGCCGGGCACGGTGGCTCAAGCCTGTAATCCCAGCACTTTGGGAGGCCGAGACGGGCGGATCACGAGAAAAATTTTCGTCAGAGAGGAATACTTCACTTGCATCATCGAGAACAGGAGAAATATGTTAGTCTCACGGTTCAGATGCATCAAATAGTTGATATTCTCATCGAAACTGACTCTGAACCAGCTAGCTTTGTCTCTCCTGCCTCCAAGTTCTTCTTTTTCTCTGGAAGATTAGGCCCATTTGCTTTCTGATTCTGCAGCTTTTTCTAAACCAGAGCAAGAATAATCCTCAGTGCCAAGATAAAGGAGATATTAATTTCCACTGTTAATGTTTGCTCCATTTCTTTTTTATTTTCCATATTAATTTTTATGCACATGTCAAATGTGACTGAAGTATGAGGTTGCTTGTATTTTACTGGTGTTTTTCTAGAGATGGAAACTTGGAGGAAGAAGAGTTTGTAATCCACAGACCCTGAAGAAACATCTTTCTCTGTGTCTATCTTCTCTCTAGCTGCACGTGCCTTTTGGAGGCAGGGAATTTAGTAACTCTCATACTGGTATCTTCAACACTTTCTTTAAGCCTAGAATGACGTGATGTCTCTGGAATAAATAACTTTGCAGGATAGGAAGATTAGTTAGAAAACTGGATGTTCTTGCAGATTAAAAAAAAATACTCCAGGGACGTAGATGCCAATCTATTAGTTTCTTAAGACTACACAATGGAGGTGAAAAAAAGTCTTCTCAGGTTGTTCCAGAGTCAGAACCCACAAGTTTGTGGAAAACATTTTCCTCCCAAAGGTCTCGTGCTTTTAAAAATTATCTTGAAGGCTCGGGTGTAGCTACATCTGCTAATGTGAGTGGAGTATTTTTCAGAGATTAAAAGGGAAGTTGGCATTAAATTGTGATTACTGTCATTCTTTTTTCAAGTAACAGTTATGGCTATGCATTTTATGACACTGCAGGCTCATTTGCCTGTGAACCTCCTCTAACCCTCCTTCTCCGTGAGAATGACTAAATTATTATCCATGGAGACTCTTTTG